CCCCTCTGTTCGTATACTTCTTCCACTCTACTCCCTTCTCTGAGTTTTTTTCCCAGGCTGCCTCATTCATGGAATATTATCCACACAAAAAAAATCCCTGTTCATCAAAATACCAGCCTTCCTCATTCAAATTCATCATCATAACAACAACAACAAACTTCCATGTCACCCAAAAGCCATGAGTTATCCTCCTTTAAAAAAAAAAAAAAACCCTATCATTATATGTTTAATGGAAACATCCTGCTCTGCTCATACCATAACTGAGGGTATGTCTTCATTAGCAATGTTAAAGCACTGCTGTGGCTGTGTAGTCGCGGCACCAGCGCTGTGAGAGAGCGCTCTCAGAGCTAGTTTAAAAAAAAAAAAACCACACACACACACCCCTAGGAGGGGAGTAGCTACCAGCGCTGGGAGCCCGGCTCCCAGTGCTGGTGAGTAAAGTCAATACTGCCACTTTACAGCGCTGAAACTTGCAGCGCTCAGGGGGGTGTTTTTTCATCCCCCAAGCGAGAAAGTTGCAGCGCTGTAAAGTGGTAGTATAGAAAAGGCCTAAGTAAGTAGATGATATTATTGAAACCCCAGTCCTTCCTCCCTTCATCCCCAACCCCTACCATTGTGTGGTATTCACTCATTTTGTCACATGTAAAATTAGACTGTAGACACTCCATGGCAAGGGACTCATAATATCCATTAGACTCTATGAAAAAAAAATACATTTTAGTGAGTCGTACAATAATAATCAAGTATAATAAAATAATGGATGTACTGTGAACAAAACATACCAAGAGGAGTATCCTGGCTAGGATACTCAATTGATCATTGTAAGGTACTAGTACAAACAGAAATAAATAGGAAGAGACAGGAATGCAAATGGACATCCACCTGTGGTTCTATTCAAGCTAACCTGATATGGAAGATCAGGGAATACTTCAGTATATTTTTATATAGATAGGATGTAATACTAAGATTACACAGTTAGAAGTTATCAAGAAATGCAGTGTAGCTGTAACGATGTTGGTCCCAGGATATTCGAGAGGCAAGGTGGGTGAGGTAATATCTTTTTATTGGACCAACTTCTGTAGGTCTCTGTCACCAACAGAAGTTGGTCCAATAAAAGATATATTATCTCACCCACCTTGCCTCTCTAACATCAAGAAATGTAAGGCTTTAAATTCTTGCAGGGTACAGGGCAGGTAAAGGATATGGTCATTGTTTGTCTAGAGACCATTTTCTGCAAGGTTGGGTTAACAAGGCAGCAGCACATCACCATGACAGTTTCTTGGACAAAACAAAAACCTAAACTTTCATTTAGAAACAAAATTAAGTTTGCAACTCATAGAATATCAGGCTCAGATGATGCTTACCAAGTGTGCTGAATTTTCTATGGCTTATAAAACTATTATTCTGCCTTTCCCCCATATCCAAAACTTGGGAATGGCTATGCTCCAAAACAGGAAATATTTAAATGCAAAGTTTCAAAAAGCAGCCATTGTTGAGTTCTGTGTTTGAAAAAAATCAAAAGCAAGGACAATAATTGGTATGTGCATGGGGAGTAGTTTTAACTCTTGCAGAACAAAAGAGATGAAAGGATTTTGCTCTGACGTAGACTGCCCAAACACCAACACACATGGCAGTATATATCACATCCCACCTTCAAACAGAAACCAAGTACGGAATACATCAGTCCCAGAAGTGAATTTCAGGAATCTGATCAGCATATGAAAACAGGGAGTTACAACTGAAAGAGTTTGGCAACTATATCTATACTGGGTTCTAACTTTAATGGCTTATAACCACTTCTAGACAATAAAGGCAGTCTCACAGATATACAGGGATGCTAGTCAGCCTAATAATCATAACCTCAGAGCTTCTTTCTCCCAAGAATCTTGAAGCACTTTATAAAGTTTGGCAAGATCCCTATTTTACATATGGAGAAACTAGGGCACAGGGAGCTTATTAGCAAGTCTTAAGGCATGTCTACATTGCCCTGCAGTTCCGACTACTGGGGCGTGAATAGCATTGTGCACCAAAGTGCTGCGCTGTAACTCCCCCATGTGGATGCTGCAGGTGTGAACTAATATGTTCACAGTTTGCATTCATGTAGTCCTCCTTCAAACAGGACTACATTAATGTTAATGTGAAGTAGGAACCTTTTAGTTTGCGCCTCCAGCAACTGGGGGAGTTACAGCAAGGTACTTTGCTGAACAATGCTATTCACACCTCCATACCCCAAGGCCATGTAGACATACCCCTAGTTTGCACAGTAACAGTGACAGAGTGAGATCCCGGTCCTCCTGTCTTCCAGCCCCCTGCTCTAACCATGAGAAACACTGCCTTTGCAAAAGAAACACAAGGAAAAAGCCAACTCCCAGTATTATATGGTGCTACTTTGCAGTCTTACTGTATAATACACCTAAGTCAATGAATAAATATTACTTTGCAAATATGCAACTTCCTGCTAACTAACAAGTAAAAGACTCATAAGATTTCAGGCTCAATAATCTGCTCTATACAATCCAAATGAAAAAAATATCTGCACACGTGGTATATGAGAGAAATGGGACATGTTTTGCTAAGGTACAACTGATGAACAAGTACTGGGAAAACCCTGGTAATTCATATGAAAAACCAGGAGACCCTTTGCATATTCATGAATAAGAAAGTAAATGAACCAAAACACACAGAAAAATAAAGACAATTTCATCAAGTGTATTCTGCTCGTTTACTTTGACAAATATAGTTCAGTATTGATTTATGAGTACGCATCATCATAATTTGCTATAATGTGCACTAATACATTTTGCAACAGTAGTGAAGCTTTAGTAATACAAAATCTCATTACAGCCCTCTGCTATTAAAACTTTGCTGAGAAGTGGGGTAAGCCTGGCATATTTTATTGTGAAACTTAACAAGTTTGTGGATTAGCAAAACTCTACCATATTGAAAGCTGTAAATCCCTCTTCAGTCATCTCACTACACAAGGGAAATGTACAATTAAAAGTTTATAATAAAAATGATTGAATATTTAACACAGATGCCAACTGGCAAATCTTGCCTAAAGTGCCAACTTTCACGGAAGACTTTAAAGAAACGATCCAAAGAAACAACCTAAGGTTTCCTATGAAAGAAAACTGATTAACCAAATTCACGAGACTATTAAATCAAGGTAAATAAAGCTGTATTAGAGATAAAAGTTCTCTCATTCCGCATTATAGACACAATATTTTGAACAAATTAACATTTAGTGTGCTTAATAACATCTGCCTACACTACAGACTGGACATGATATTTTGGCAGAGGAATGGTTAGTGCTGTTTATGGATGGACTACCTAACTTACCATCAAAAAAAAATAAATAAATAAAAAATAAAAAGCTTGAAACTTTTGCTGGGAGCAGCACATCTAATTCACTTGCTAGCTAGTTAAATGCACTCTGAATTAATATGAGGATGTTGCAAAGGATACAAATACTTGTCATCTTTCCATATTTTAAGGTGGCATTCTGAATTAAGGCAGGTAATGTTGTTACCTGCTATATTTACCTCATGTTGAACATTTACATATTATCATAATCTTTTTCCTCATTTCTATGCAAACCATCTAATCCTCCTTGGCCTTGCATACCTGAACAGCTATTAACATTAACCCTTGAACTTCTCTGCTCCTTTGAGCAATATGATACTGCTACATAATTCCATTTTCAAATATAATAATTGATGGTTTTTGTCCCTCCCCTCCAGCCTTCTCACTTGGCATATTCTGCAGGTAGTCGGTCTCCTGACATTAATCAGCACTCCACTGCCTGAAGTCTATACATCTCTTATTCTTTCCTTTTTCAGCTTTGGACCTTGCAGAGGCAATGTAAGTATAGAAAATGAATCTGCTTAGGAAATGCCAATTGGGGAAAGCCATATCCTGCTCTTGATTGATACAAACAGATTTGTGGATTTCTACAATTTTTTAGGAAATCCTCTGCAACCCCAAATGCTTACAACCCAAACATTCAAAGGGAACACCTCAGGTGCTTAGATACCAAGTTGATAAACACACTTTAGAAATGCCGAAGACAGAGTTCCCAAGTAAAAAAAACCAACATTAAATGTACATAGCAGTGCTTATTTTTTATTGTTCTTAATACTGTGGTCTCCTCTTCATAAGGCTCTGTTTGACAGACAGAAGGGTCAGTTTGCTGTATTGAGATCTTAGAGACAGCAAAATCAAGGTATTTGCTCAATAACTATGCTTGGCTTAATTTTTTTTTACGCTGATTATGCTTGAATCCAGGTGTTTCCTCACTCAGCATGCCCAAATTTGGCAGCACAAAAATATTGTCTTATTGATTCTGCCTTGCCCTTACCAGTTGATGGTCTTTGCTTGTTGACTGAGAACGGGCATGCACGGTCTGGGGTTCTGTTTGTTTGACACACACTAAAAAGGTGTCTAGGTCCAACTTTTACCCAGATCTGCGAACCCCCGGCCTCAAGATACCAAAAGCCTGTAGGATGGGGACAAGGAACCACGGATAGAACGAGGGGTCTGTTTCTCAGAGGAAGGGGCTCTATTTAAATAGACACAATATCTCCTCTCCGCTTCCTCCATCGGGGGGAATAAGGTAGTAATAAGGTAAGGGTCACCCTTCTCCCACCTACTTGTCAAATGGGATGCAAGGCCAGGGGGAATTAAGATCACCAAAAAGACTGGCAGAAGGGCTGGCTGGGCTCTAAAAAAAAAATCTTTAAAACAAAAAAATTCCCGAATTTGTTTGTTTTTGAAAGCACTTGGCATTAACCTAGCCCAGCCCCAAGCGCCCAGACGGTCTCCGTACCCTGCCACACTAACAGGTAGGGCAGGCATCTGCCCAGGCCATGCTGCCAACACACCCACCCGGGAAACCTGTTTGGGAAAGTCTGGAGGCAAAGAGGGACCCCTTCTAGCCCACACACCCACACCAGTCTCCACCTCCCGCCGCCACACCGCCCCCGCGTGTCCCCCGGACTTACAGGGCGTGGGTGAAGGCGCTGAGACCCTCAGGCACGGTGGTCAACCCCCTGCCGGAGCAATCGACTCCTCCGTCCCCATCGCAGCTGCAGGAAGCCGGGCAAGGAGGAGGGGAAGCTCCGCCGCTGGGCCCAGCCGAGCTCCCGAAGCCCCAGGCGAAGAAGCCGAGCAGAGCCAGGCACCGCATTGCGAGCCCCCTCCGGTGCGTGCGGGAGTCTAGCTCCTGGGAGCGGCGAGGCTGCCCGGGCTGGACGCTTCGGCTCGGTCCCTTTGCAGAACGATTCCTCCCCCGCGCCCGCTGCAAGACGCCTCTCCGGCTGCCCTGGCCCCGCGCAGAGCCGAGCTGAGTCCTTGTTACCGCAGCTCCCTCCCCACCTCCGTGCCCAGCGCAAGCGGAGTGTCTCGCCCTCTCCCCCCCTCAACACCGTGCACCAGGAGCCAGCACTTCAGCGTCTCTCCCTCCTCCCTCCCGCTCCATTGAAAGGCAGCAGCTTCCTTCCCTCTGCGGGGCTCATCTCAAGCTAGCAGGTAACGTGCGCTGGGCTTTGCCTCTGCCGTGGCGCTCTCCCTGTTGTTGCTGCTGCTGTGCCGTGTTGCAATGCCTAGGAAGTGAACCGTGCAGCCATTCTAGCTCCTGTCTGCCTCTGCTCCACTCCCCTGCTTGCCAGGAGCCAGACACACCAGTCCAGCTCCGCAGCCTCCTTTTCCCTTCTAGGGTTGCACAGTGTCGGGGCTCCGGCTGCTGCTCTATGCAAATCAACTAGGTGCGTATGCGGAGAGTGAAGCCGGCGCCCGCATTGGTGCAGAAGAAATCTGAGGCTGATTAATATGCAAAGAGGAGCCTAGCAGCAGCCAACAAACGAAGGGCGCCTTGGCCTCTTTGGTAAGTGGAGCACTTGGTGGGCGTTACCCTGACAGATGAGTGACAAGGTGGTGGTTCAAGTGGAATCCCTGAGCTGGCTGAATTGGTGATTCAAGGTTGCACACAAGGCAGCGGAGGTGAAGGTGGTGGGGTGACTGGAAAATGCAAGCTGCGAGGAGTGCGCTGAAACAGAAGTGAATTCATAGAAACTCGATTCATCTTAATTAGGGTAAAGGGACCCATTAAAATTAATATTTTAAAAATCGGTTTCCATTTCCTGCATGACATGGCACTTTAATTATTAAAACCAAAAATTGTTTTTAAATCTGATTTTTTCAATTTTTGTTTGTTTAAAAAACATGCATGAGTTCTGTATCACCTGAAGCCCACTCCTCCAAATACTTACTTAACTCAGTAAGGCCTCCTGTGTATGAGCCAGGCCTAACTTTTCTCCCATGAGCAATCCCATAAATTTTCCCTTGTATAAATATTCATTTTATTATTTGTTTGGGTCTTTCATATGGCAACAGAATAAAACATTTGTTTTAATATGGAAATGTCATCATAAAACCACAGAAAAATTGGCAGGGAGCTTCAGGGGCAGGTTAAACACCCAAAACTACTTTGAACTCTTCTTTTTTAATTGACTGTATTTTAAGTTTATAGAGTCCTTTTAAATGTTAAGGTACTGGTGTCATTGGGATGTGTAATATAACTGAGCACATTACTAGTCTGTGTAATCATGTGTCTATCACTTGTCTTCCAGTCTCTATTCCCTTGGTTGGTTTGTTTCCCTGGCCCTGAGTTAAGCCATATTCTGCAATGAGCTCCACATGCAGGGACCTGAGCCTGCATTGAACAACGTGCAGGATTGGAGCCTTAGATCATAAATTCTGAGGGGGAGGGATTATCTCCAATGTACAGCACCTAGTCTAAAAGGGTCCTGATTCTGCTTGGGCCTTCTGGACAAATACAAATAAATCTTTATTTTTATGCCGTTTATTTTCTCACTTTCTATTTGCATCATGGAAATAAATTAACCCTGTACACTTTTGCTTATAGCTCATTTCTAGTCAGTTTCACTTTCTACTTTCCAGACTGCAAGGACTGGGTTACAAACCTTGTACAGAATTTTAAAATAATAAATGTTTCCTTTGGCATAAAAAAAGCATGGTAGCTTGTTTTTATAAAACCTACAAATGTTGGCCAAGTTTGCACTGGCTGGGGTCCTGTATTGTTCATTTCTCACTTCCTTCAAAAACTTCTAAAACCCTATTTATTCTTGCTGTACATGGCCATATTTCACTCTGGTGTGTTCTGCATTGTACTAACTTTTTACATGCTGTCTTTTTGCCTTCAGACTGAGTGGGGATCTGATACTCGTTTAACTCAATTCACCTATTGTACACCACAGTGTATACTCACTATATTATTAAAAACAATAATAAAGATTGTGACAGCACTTTAATACTACTTTAGACTTTCATCCAAAAATCTCAAAGTATTTCACTCACTAATGCCCTGATCCTGTAATGGACACTGGGCAAGTGGACCCTACAACCTCGTGGAGCCCCATTGAAATCACTGGGCTTCTGTGCAGACACAGCCATCTGCCCACAGAGTCCATTGCAAGATCAGAGCCTCATTATATCCATCTTCCAAACAGGGAAACTGAGGCACAAAAGTTAAGTGACTTGCCAAGGTCACTTAGCCCCCAGTTCTTAGGCCCAATAAGATACACACAGGTGAACCCCTGTCTGCCCAAAACTCCATTGATTATATTGGGGCTATTTGTGCGTGTAGTGATCTGCTTCCACATATCTCATTGCTGGATCAAAACCTTAGAGCCTGATCCAAAGCCCACTGAAGATTGCCACCATTGACTTCAATGGGCTTTGGCGCTGGCCTTCAGTGAGTATATAGTTGAGTCAGGAAGCCAGGAATCCTGCATTTCAATTTTGTTCTCTAAATACGAGTTAGACCATACTCACCTTCTTCCAATGCCCCATAATCCTAACAGGGAGATTGAAAGATAAAGCTTGCTTACGCCATATATGAGGCAGAGCTTTGGTTAAACCTCGCAATGACTTTTTGGGGCTGATTATTAATAGATATTTGGTGAGATTAAAAAAAAGTGAAAGAAAAACAAGGAGACTTTGAAACAACAGTACGCTAAGTAAGCCACACTCAGGGACTCTCATTGCACTTTAGCAGTGACCATAGGGACATTTGTGCACAGCAAGCCAGTGTATCGTAGATTTACACCATGCTTTGCCACATACTAACTCACTGTGTAGGAGACCCTACCAGAAGAATGCAAAGGGGCTGGAAAGTAGCTGAATTTGGTGCTGCGCGGAGGAGCTCTGAGCTGGAACCAGCCAGCATTGCTAGGCCCCGTGACACCTCAGCTTTGGTGCAGGAGATGGGGAGGGAGTGTATCCAACAGGAATGCTCTAACCTTTGCCAGGGCTCTAGGCAGTGCTGAGTCACCCAGTTGTAACTAGCTCCCTGACACCACCTCTCTTGCTGGTGTGGGGTGCTCCAACCAGAAAGCTCAGCTCACCGGAGAATCTGAGCCCTTGAGGATTGTTTCCTGTCTATAAAGTGAGAATAACACTTACCTCCCATCCTGCCACTCTTACCCATTTAGAGAGGGTGACTATTTAAATTTTTTTGGCCCAAAAATGTCCTTTTTCTAAAAAGAAAATGTTCATGAAACATTTTAAATTGTCCATTTTTCAGACAAAATTCTAAAAACATTTTCTGTTCTTTTTTTGTTTATGGGTTGTCAGATTTCTCTCCCCCCCCCTCCAGTGGCAAAAGGAAAAAAGTGTGCCTGGGGAGGGGGAGAATAAAGCCTAAACACTTTAAAAAGAATCACATAAATGAAAAATCTTTCCTTTGTGAAACTTGTGGAACAAAAATATTTCACAATTTTTGAGTTTTGTGTGTGAAAACTCTACCACTTTTCAATGAGCTCTACACTCATGTCAAGCAGTTCCTTACTCTGCAAGTAGTCCCACTTTACTCTTCAGGCATAAGGGAATAAAGCCCTTAACATCTGCACTGTGTTCTGAAGTTCAACAGTATTGTAATATATTTTTTGTACTGCAGTGAATCTTTCATTTGCAATACCGGGAGAATTATTCATCTGAAAAATGTCAACAAAATATTTCTAGCAAAAGCAAAATAAAGCATACCCAACTTTTGACTCTTTATTTTAGATACTACTTTAATTTCTCCTTTTCTACACTTTCACGTTCCTTCCTTCTGCCCTTTCTTCATCTTCTTTCCTCTTACCAAACCATTTTAGTTCCTTCTTCCAACATTATTCCAGGGCCATCTCTCCCCTTTCCTCCTCAGCTCAGCAATCTACCTCAGATCATCTTGTCCCTTCCACCCAACTCAGTAATTTTCTAATCTGACTACCCTGACAATGGTTCTGATACTATTCCCTAAATTCTTACTACTCATCTCAGCAACATAGCATGAGTTCCCTCCATATTTCATCAGCACTCCCCCCTCCAATAGCATTGTGCTAGATCCAGTCCCCATTCTTCCCTTGCACCCACATCAACAACCCACTCAGTCTCCCGCCTCTCCTTGTTGTTTTTAAGCAGGCAACTGTTTTTCTTTTCCTCTCAAAGTAAAATAGCAGAAACTTTTGTGTTCGTTGTAATGATGGTTTGTGGAGATAAGGGGGTTGCATAGTAAGGTTTTTTTCAACAATTAAAGTGTATAGATACAATTTAGCAGTTGGCTTGTTAAGTAGCTGAAATTTGTACCCACAGGCTTTGAAAAGCTGCTGCAAAAATGGTTATTTAAGACCAAAGTCTTGCTGTAACAGACTAAGAATTCTGAGGTGCATTTTTGGAAGTAAATCATGAAGCAGCAAACAATGGGCCTACAGACAAGGAGGAAAGAGGGACAGAGACAATGAGTTGATAAGTCAGGTGAGGGAAATAAGAGGTTGGCATTACTTGGGATGACCCACTGAACAAATCCTTGAGGGGGACCCTGATCACTTTCCTGAAACTATCAGAAAGCAGAATAAATCTGCCTCTGTGCAAATGAGATCTCTAGGATTTAGAGTCCAATGTATAAAAAATGTGCCTGCGAAGCACTTGCCAGGAGGTCTCTGAGAAGGCATTAGTGAGAGTTTTGAAGCCATGGAAAATTAAAGAAAAAATTACAAAAATCTGGATATGGGATTTTCTTTTCTTCCCCTACCACAAACCCACTTCCTGGACTCTGCTAAAATTCAGCTTTAAAAAAGCTATTTCATTTGTATTTGGTGGGAGTCTGTAATCAAAAGACAGACAAATTAAAGACGAAGCAAAGGAGTAAAAATATAAAGCAATCTACACTTTGATAATAGGCATAACAGTCCTCAAAAGTAGAATTGTCTGATAAAGACAGGACAGGATACTGTGGGGCCTATACTACACGAAAATTGCTCTGCATGGCAGGTTTTTTTCTCATTGTTTGTCAACAAACATGAGACATTATGGAATATGTGTTATACAGACATCACACCAACAATATAATGCTCCAGATTTATTTTGCATCGTCTATTGATTTTGCTGGTTGGTGTAATGAAAGATGCATAGATTTAATAGCTGCTGTCAGAATAATGCAAATTCTTAATGTTCTTCAATTTTGTAGCTTCACGAAAGGTGCTAGATAGACAGCTCCAAAAAGCCTCTATGCACAGATGATGGTTTTGGGTTGTGAACACCTGCCTCTAAAACCATTGCCAATTTCACACAGGCCAACAAACAGACATCATATAGAAACAACTTTCAGGAGCAAATCTCCTGGTCCAGCTGATCTGTGTTCAGCACAGCATGGAGGGAGGTGGGAAAAGTGATTGAACTTGTAGGCCATCTACTGTTCCCTTTTATCCTAAGCCTGATGGGGGACTATTTTGATCCCAGGTT